ACAAAAAAATAAATATTGCAATAAAGCAGTGAATAATAGATTAATAAAAATAAATATATAAAGTAATAATAAAAGTGCAGCAAAAAAAAGCAATTGTGTATATTATGTGACACATAATATTCGCTACAGTTTTTATTGTTTTTTATATTCAATACAACAATACATATATGAAAACAACAGGAATGGAGAGTTAAATAGAAATGGTGTAAGAAATCGATGACATTATATATTGTGTTTGTGAAAGAAAGTCAGAGAGAGAGAGAGAGAGAGAGAGAGAGAGAGAGAGATCAGAAGTAAAAACCAATGATGGTCGTACATACCATACCAGGCTTGTTGCTCGCCCTGGACCTCGATGGCGAGGCCAAAATCAGCGAGTTTAACGGCGGCGCCTTTTTGTTTACTCGCTAGTAATAGATTTTCAGGCTATTAATGGATGCATTAGAAGACACAATGAGAGCCGATGGAGAAAAGTGAGAGACACCACAAGTGAGAGCACAGGAATGTGTGATCAATAGTCACCACAAGAAGATGAAGAGGCGGTAGTAAAATAGTGGAGAGCGAGAGATGAGTGGCAGTAGTAGTGGTTGTGAAGAAGAGATGATGTTTTGTGGCACACAATGAGGAGATAGAGAGGGAGAGAACGGAGAGAGAGAATGAATGAAATGAGTATACAATCAGTAATTATTGAAAAAAGAAGTGAATTCTATGTCAGCTTTTATTATATCAGTTATTATTCACTGTAATTATTGTCAAGAATTTTAAAAATTCACGAAATAGTTATATTTTTTAATACATAAATTTTAATAATAAATTATGTATTTTCAAATATAACATACGCACGGAATTATAATTTCTATAAATAAATGTATAAATATGTACACTTATAATATTGAGTACACTTTTAAACTATAATTTATAATCATTAAACTTCATGTCAGCCTTTCGTTCCCCAATCCCTGAGCTCTCGAGAGGATCAAAACAACACAAATACACTATTCATTTCATCAATTCGTACATCGCTTTGAGCGGCTATTAATGATTTTTTGTCAAATATATATTATATAATATATTTTTAATATAAATGCATTGTATATTATAATAGGGGATCGCTAAGGGGTATGGATGGGAATGGCATCCGACAAAAGCGAGTCAATTCCCCCCAAAGAATTTATTTTAATGGAAATGATGTGTAAGTCTATGCAGGGAATTGTCGTTTTGACCCGGAATTGGTTTTCCATTCCCATACCTATCTCTTAGATGTATTCCTGAATGTAATAAATATCTGATATTTATGTTATGTGTGTATCACAGGAGAGGCAAAAAAAATTCAATATTTATTTTGTTGTTCACATATACTATCTATGAATTCATATTAAAATAACATAGAAATCCATTTTCGTCACACAGAATATGTAGAATATTTAAAAATATATTTATTCATTGCTATTATTATGAAAAAAGATATATTTTACAAATTTATAATTCATTATTTTATTATACATTATATTTTTCGGGTAATATTTTTTGAATATAATGTTCATTGGCTGACGAAATAGGTTTTTATGTCAATTATAGTTTGCACAGTAATATTATACAGCATGTTATTATTTATGATATAAATGATATAATAAAATATATTAATGGATAATATAAAGTTGGTAATAATTTCAAATTTTTATCGTGCTATTTTTAATTACAATTAAGCATGAAAATTGCATGTTACACAATTGCTCTGCCCCTCCTACTCTATCAGCAATAACATGGTATTTTAAATTAATCCACTGAATGCACTTTAACCGATCAATGTTAGTCTATGAGGAAATAATAATCCTAAGGGAGTAATGTTAACCGTATGGTAATATTTGACAAATCATAATATTCAAGTTGTTATACGAGAATTGTGATTAACTATGGCATTAGTCGCAAATTTTGTTTAAAGTTATAATGGTCAAGATTTATAAAGAAACATTAAAGTATACAACGGACATTTAAAAATTTAGAAATTTATGATCCGTCTAATTTTAGTACTGCAATTTTAAACATAAAATGTACCAAGAGTAATCAAATTGTTATATAGAGAAAGTATGATTTGAAATGTTACGTAAACATAAGACAGAAACATATTCTGTCAAAACTTGCATTGTAACAATTGTATGATTGTGGCCAACATTGATATTACTCTGATATTATAACTGATATTAATGATGAGAAATGTGACTTACTTTGAGGTCTCGGTGTACAATGTTATTCATATGACAATGATTTACTGATTCAAGTATTTGTTGTATACAATGGGATGCATCGGCTTCTGAGTAGTATTCCCGGGCGACGATGTCCTCAAACAGTTCACCGCCGGTCACCAAATCAAAGATTAAATAATGATAGCCTTCTTCTTGGATACTATCGTGTAGTCGTACTATTGGACAGACAGACAGACAGACAGACAGAGAGAGAGAGAGAGAGAGAGAGAGAGAGAGAGAATGGCGGATGAATGGATAGAGGTGTTTGTGAAGGAGGGTTGGGGTGGAATAAATAGAAATCATTAATTATATTATTAATTTTTAATACGTTTGGTAATTTTAACCACAATTCTGTATAGAATAATGTGATTTACAAAATGGTTCGGCCAATCAAACACAGTGTTAAGTCTATGGTATTCTTTGGGCATAACCCGAATTGTGGTTAAGGCATAGCATTGCGTGTGAACCTTGTTTGTTTTTCAATTCTCAATACTTGATTTCATTCAATATATATAATTCTATCAATAATTTAATTACGAGCGAAGATAAGTGTATTTCTATCTCTCATTTGATCAATAATTTAAATAAATGTCCGGAAAATAAAATATTTACTTCATTTTTACTCAAAACCTTTATTCAAATTGATTAAGACATAAATTTATGTCAATTTACTTTTAAATTCAATTATTATTATTAAAATTTAGTGTAGGCTTTGATTCTGCATTACATTTATGCCATTAAAGAGTTTTGGTTTGAATTATCAAAAGTATTTTTGCCTATAAAAAGATATTTTTGATTTTTCAACTCAAGAATACAAAGTATGGGTAAATATATTTGATAGCAATTCAATGCATAATATATGAGCAAAAATATTTCGATTTAGCTTATCGTCGGTATCAAAGAATCCGCGAACAAAATATTTAAATAAATTTAGAATAAATAAAAATTCTGTATATTTTTGTTTTAACCCAAGAAACTAAAGAATTCATTAAAATTATGTATAAATCAATAAAAAATTGTCAGAAAATATTATTTCAATGCAAATGTAGAATAGTTAGAAATGTAATTAAAAATGTTTGTCATATTTAAGCATTAAATTGAAAACATATTTTTTGCACTTTATTTAATGCGAAAAAACTTAATTCTCATTTAATTAACATTTTCATAAATAGTTTTTTGGGTGCAATAAAAATATGCATCAAAAAATTGAATTAAATGTAAAAATAGTTTTTACTTTTATAAATTCAACATAAATCTATTTAATTAAATTTTTAGTAAACTTTTAATGGAAAATTACTTGAAATGCTTTAAAAATAATTATTTTGCAAAATAATTGTATATACTGCATGTTGTAAAATTAAGATTAAGGCAGTTTGAAATAACCAAATTATTAGTTAATAATATGTTCATTCTAGACTATGTCATAATGCTAATTCTTGTCTACTTTTATTAAACATTACTTAAAGTTTGCTTAAATTTTTAATGATAATGAATACAATTTTGATTTTTAAAAATTGAATTTCTATAATGGTCATGTTATTTTAAATCTAATAAATCACAGCTTATTATATAATGAGAATTTCAATACAATTGGGTTGACTCAAAAATGGTTACCAGAAATCTACAATTTCTTATTAAAGTAGACATATGGACGACACCTCTCTATCGGAAATCAGCCATCGATTGAATACGAAAGAATTATCTTATATAAAAAAATCGTTAAAATGGCCATGCTCAATTTTGTAAAATGAATGTGCTGTTTTGTAAATCAAATTGAAGCCGACAAAAATGCTACAATGAGATGAAGTGTTCAATATTCTCACCAATATTTGGATGATTTAATTTTCTACAAATTCGTGCCTCTCTTTCCAATTTTTGAAAATCTTTTTCTCGAAAAAGAAATGAGATAATAGTTAGTTAATGCGTTATATACATCGACTCTATACACATGTTTAATCACGTGTTAGTAATAATTATAATTAATTAATCAAATCACACAAACCTCTTGACGAAAGTTTTTTCGTATTTATAATTTTCGCCGCAAATTCTAATTGCGTTGACTTTTGAACACATCGTCTCACTATTGAAAACGCGCCCCTATTTTGGTTACAAACAAATAAACAATTAATTAATAAATTCATAGTTTTCAAAATAACAACATTATCGTAAAT